GTGTGTGTGTGTTTGTGTGTGTGTGTGTGTGTGTGTTGTGTGTGTGTGTTGTGTGTGTGTGTGTGTGCTCTGTGTGTGTGTGTGTGTAGTGTGTGGTGTGTGTGTGTGTGTGTGTGTGTGTGTGTGTGTGTGTGTGTGTGTGTGTGTGTGTGTGTGTGTGTGTGTGTGGTGTGTGTGTTGTGTGTGTGTGTGTGTGTGTGTGTGTGTGTGTGTGTGTGTGTGTGTGTGTGTGTGTGTGTGTGTGTGTGTGTGTGTGTGTGTGTGTGTGTGTGTGTGTGTGTGTGTGTGTGTGTGTGTGTGTGTGTGTGTGTGCGGAGTGACAGAATGCCCTGTCACCGTCTTTTGGGTTAAAGCAGGGGGCAGCCGGAGAAGCATGTGGGCGGCTGCCAACGAAGACCCCACATGATTCTCGTGAAACGTACCTGCAAGCCGCACCTGGGTCTATGATGACAGCTGGTGGGCTACCCCAACTAAACGGACCCCTCTTTGCCCGCGGAAACCGAGCCGAATCCAAGCCGAGACTTACCAGTTGTACTCGAATGATTAGCACCCTCCATCTGGAGCTTAAGTGTGTACACCCCATTCGTGGGGAATCCTCGGGTGTACCCATCGTGTGACCCCGGGCCGGTTCTGTCGGAAAATTTGACCTTAACGTGCTTATCATAGATCAGCGGAATTTCACATTTAACCAGGAACGAGGTTTCACTAAAGGGAAGACAGCCACCTCTTCATAGTTACGTCTCACCACTGGCGGTGCACCTGCTGCTTCCAGGCTGCGGCTCTTCGAGTGTTGCGTATATGTGTTGAAATCTTTGCTTGGTTTGTCTTGCGTGGTCATGTAACTTGCTACACCTGCTGCTTCCAGGCTGCGGCTCTTCGATTGTTGCGCATATGTGTTGAAATCTTTGCTTGGTTTGACTTACATGGTCATGTCACTTGCTACGCAGCGGAATATGTGGTGCGTGGACTATTCTTTCGACCTTGTGGTGAGCGCAGCTGCATCTTCCTGACAGTGAAACAGCGGCTTTCGCCCCTCATTGAGGGGCGTGTGTGTGCGGAGTGACAGAATGCCCTGTCACCGTCTTTTGGGTTAAAGCAGGGGGCAGCCGGAGAAGCATGTGGGCGGCTGCCAACGAAGACCCCACATGATTCTCGTGAAACGTACCTGCAAGCCGCACCTGGGTCTATGATGACAGCTGGTGGGCTACCCCAACTAAACGGACCCCTCTTTGCCCGCGGAAACCGAGCCGAATCCAAGCCGAGACTTACCAGTTGTGCTCGAATGATTAGCACCCTCCATCTGGAGTTTAAGTGTGTGGGCTGTCAAAAGACTAGGTCCTGAAGTAGAGAGGTTAGAATAAGGGTACTAACTAGTTTCTGCAGTCTATTTTAGTAAGGGGACCCTCCCCCAAAAAAGGGGGAGAGAAGGGCACCTAGCTGGGGGACCTAGAAAACTGTGGCAACCCAAAAGGCGGCGCCTCCCAAGAAAATGACCACACGACACCGCTATATAGCTCTCTGCAACTAAGCGTTGCGTCGGGCGCCCGGCCATGATCTCGGTGGGGCACACGAAGGTGAAATCCAAGGGATAGAAGAAGAGCACCACGTACCTAGCGCTGCCCGTTTTCTGATCCTCCGCTAAAAGTGACTAACTTTTAGTGGGTTAAACGGAAACTGCCACTAAACCAGCTAAAAAGATCTAAAATGCTAAGAGGATGGCGAGCCACCAGGATACCTACTTGATCGACGACTCTATGGGTGCTTCCTTTTAGACTACCACGTCTGGAGGCATCACCCCCAGACATTGGGTCCCAGAGAAAAGTAGCTTCCGAGTACTCTCCCACAGGTGCCTTCTGTTGGTGGGAGGGAGAGTAGCCACCCAAAAAAAAAAGTGCGGACTTTGGGTCTACCACTAAAACCGGTCAAGAAAATCTCAGGCCTGGCGAACTGGTTGGACATCAAGCAACAAAAATTCAAACCCCGGCGCCCCCTTGCAACTTGCCACGGATTTCTGGAGGCAACGCGATCCCCGCGATCCCCGCGATCCCCGCGATTGAGGTGCGGTCGGCTAGCCTGCCAGAGTCCAGCTGGATGTCTTCGATGTCTTCCTCCACAATCGCCTGGCGACAAATATCGTGTTCCTCATTTTTTGTTTAGTCCCTGAACAAAAAAAATAAAATTTGTCCAGTGGTGATAGATTGCGTTTAAAGCCAACAGGGGAAATAAAGCATATTCTTGACCAAATGGAAGTTTTCGTTTTTCAAGTCAGAGGGATGCGAATCCGATTGAATCGGCGGCGCAAACCCATTTGCCCTTGGGTTGAAACCCTTCGCCAAAAAAGCCTTGACAGGAAATCGCTGGACTGAATCACCATTTTCCCAGTTTGAAGTCAAAGGACCCTCGAATCTGGTTGGGTGTGGTTCGGTTGCTCACATCTTCCATGGATTTGTTTCCAGAGGTTGTGAAAAAGTCATTATCCACGGCATGTTCAACAAAGGGGTCATAAATAGACCATGCTTGAAGGGAAGCCAGCCCTGGAATGTCACATCTAAAGCGTCCACATTTTGTGGACCAGTTGAGCCCGGGGGAACCATGCAGAGCCTCGGCTAGTAGTTCTACATTCAGCCATAAAACGCGTGGCGAGTCAAACCCAGGGTAGCGGATGGACGGAAATCAACAGCTTTATGGGTATGTCTTTTTCAGGGGACCCCCAAACATGAAAATGCTTTCCTTTGGGTGTCCCTTTATGGCCAACCAAAAGCTGCCACCCAAGGAAACGACGAGCCTCCCATATCTTCACACCCTCACCTTTGCCTTACGTCAAAAACCATCTCGCAACCTTGTCACCTCCAATGCAAGCCTTGCTTTCTGAAAGGCGTCGATCTAATCAGAAAGGAGTTGCAACTCTAAGGGTAGTTGTTTGGGTTCAGGAACCTTTTCTTCGGTTCAGGCTCTTTCATGATGTTGTAAGACGTTCCCCCTAATTGGTATCTTGATTGGTTTGGGGAAGTGCCCCTGCAAACCTCCAAACCGCCAATTGCCAGCTTCCTTCCAATTGATTGGATTGGTGGTTATGGAGTGGTTCCCATTTAGTTCTTTCAGGTAACCCCTAATTGATAATTTGGATTGCTTTGGGGATTGAACCCCTGCAAACCTCCAAACCGCCAATTGTCCGCTTACTTCCAATTGGTTTGGATTGGTGGTTGTTGGTTATGGAGTGGTTTCCCACTTGCGCTCTAGAACCAAGGGTTCAAATCTGCAAACCCATCCAAACCGCCAATTTAAGGTTTAAAAAAAAAACGGCGGCATATCCGCACCCATTTTTGGTTGGGATTATCCCTTACTAACCTTCAAGTACCCGGGTTTTGAGCAAGTGACTCACCTAGACCCTGTGCCAAGCAATCCAAACCACCAATTAGGAGTTACCTGAACTTACCAACTTGAGTGCCCATCCAAGTAGAGTCCTAGTTTGCAGCCAAATGCCACCCTTTCCGCAGGTTACCTGAAGTTCCCTGAACTAGTCTGAGAATTCTACAAAATACCCATCCAGGCAACATACCTATCTGGGCTGTCCTCAGACCCCCGCTAAAAGTTTAACTTTTAGTCTGTCCCCACTGACCACAAGCCTAAAAGGCTAAGGAACCGGATGCCTGTGAGCCAAAAAGCTATTGGCTTTTTGAAGGATGTTAAGATTTTTCACAAAAACTACCCATCCAGGTCACACAAATACCCATCCAACGAAACATGCCTATGGGCTTGTTTAAGGAGTTTTAGATGTTTCACTCCCCTTTTGGCGTCCCTTCAGGTTCCGTACCTAACATTGGGCGCCTGCAGGTCATCCGGCCCTGCCGGCGCCGGGCTGCCCACCAGCCTCACGCCGAGGGAAAAGTCGTGGGTCGCGACCGGAGTTGGCACCCGTTTGGGGCGTGGAAAGGAAAACCCAAGGAAAATTGTTTTTTTTGTGGGGGATTTTTTTTGGGGGGGAGGTCTCCCGTGTTTAAGACACGCCCAAACCAAGAAAACAGAAAGACACAAGATGTCACAAAGACACCAAAAATATCAGACAACAAGACTCGATGAATTCACGTGATTCACCACACAAAAATGGACCCCCAAAGAACTGAATCTCCACGGGCAATGTTGCAGACCCCGGCTTTCTCCAAACGGAGCCGGGCGCGCGTCGCTTGCCGGGCCACTTTGGAGTCTAGCCTCGGCTGGGAAAATGGAAACGGATCCTCGTTGCATTTTGGAAGACCCTGAAATACTGTGCTTTACCTTTTGCACCTGAGAAGCGGTCTAAACCCAGTTGCGGCCGAAGAGAAATATCAAATCCCTTCCGCGAAGGCTTCCGCAAAGCTTGCGCGGCATGAAAGGTTCCTTCCGCAAGAGATTGCAGAGGGAATCGCTTCCGCGTCGCTTCCGCGAATTGAGAAATGGGATTGAAGTTCGTTTTCGCTTCCGCGCGTGAAGCTTTCGTGATGGATTCGTAGCCCTTCTGCGAAAAGTCAACATTTTGAAAACGATTTCCTCCCGAATACTACTTTCAAGTGCAGGGGTTGTAGAACGTCGCTCACCTAGCTTATGGATTGCATGGTTTCAAGGGTCTGCCAATCTATGGGTCGTGTGAGATTGCCGATTCTTCACCGAGGCGCAGTTGCCCTTTGGTTGCAAAGCGTGGCTTCTCTTTGGCGAGCAACAGTGGTTGGGATTCTTCCATGACCTTCATATACCCAGAACACTTCCTGTTGTAGGACAGGGCCAACATGTGTGCACTTTGTGTTGGCCAGTCGACTCAGCTGTTCAGGTGATTTGTTAGTCTGTCATTCTCGAATGCTCTACATGAGTGTTGGCACACGGGTTTTGAACCCAAGAGCCGCTTGGAATTGGAAGCCACTCATGATTGAAAGCCATCGGAAGTGAAACAGAACCCGTGGCCAGCAACCCTCATGGCCTCTGCGCTAACTCTGGGATCGCTGGGCGGTTCAAGAAATTACCCTGGAGCTCCCCGGGAAAGATCTCCCCTCCACAGTGTCCTGGAAAACCAGCTTTCTCTAAAAGACGGGTGAATTCCATGCCAAACAGGAGGGTTCCCTCCCTCCTCCCAGCAACGTTACGTGGAGCAAGTTTCGGGTAAGACGACGACTTCGCTTTGAGAGAGGCCTCTGCACGCTTACGCCCGGCGCAACACCTCAGGGTTCCCATTTCCCAGGGAAGGGGGCTCATCTGTGCCTCACATTTTCGGCTCATCTCCGCCCGCACAGAAGTGACTCATCTGCGCCCACATTTTCTGACTCATGTGCGCCCACAGATTCTTTCGCGAATACATAGAAGTTGACCCTTTGCACAAAGGGGTCAGCGGAGGATCATCTGCGCCCACACTTTGGGCTCATTCCTGCCCACAGAGAGTTTTAGGGTTTTTTGGGCGTAGGGTCATTAGGGTTTAGGTTTTTAGGGTTTAGGGTTTTAGGGCTAAGGGTTTTTAGGGTTTAGGGTTGTCAGGGAGTAGGATCTTTGTTGATTAGGGTGTTTAAGGTTTAGGGTTTTTAGGGTTTAGGGTTTTTAGGGCTTAGGATCTTCAGTGTTTAAGGATTTTAGGGTTTAGGGTCTTCAGGGTTCAGGGTTTTTTGGGTTTAGGGTTTTTAGGGCTTAGGATCTTTAGTGTTTAGGGTTTGTAAGGTTTAGGGTTTTTAGGGTTTAGGGATTTTAGGGTTTAGGGTCTTCAGGGTTTAGGATCTTCAGTGTTTAGGGTTTTTAGGGTTAAGGGTTTTCAGGGTTTAGGGTTTTTAGGGTTAAGGGTTTTTAGGGTTTAGGGTCTTCAGGGTTTAGGATCTTCAGTGTTAAGGGTTTTTAGGGTTAAGGGCTTTTAGGGTTTAGGGTTTTTAGGGTTTAGGGTTTTAGGGTTTAGGGGTTTCAGGGTTTAGGGATTTTAGGGTTTAGGGTCTTCAGGGTTTAGGATTTTCAGTGTTTATGGTTTTTAAGGTTAAGGGTTTTTAGGGTTAAGGGTTTTAGGGTTTAGGGATTTTAGGGTTAAGGGTCTTCAGGGTTTAGGATCTTCAGTGTTTAGGGTTTTTAGGGTTAAGGGTTTTTAGGGTTTAGGGTTTTTAGGGTTTTGGGTTTTTAGGGTTTAGGGGTTTCAGGGTTTAGGATCTTTAGTGTTTAGGGCTTTAGGGTTTTTAGGGTTTAGGTGTTTTTGGGGCTTAGGATCTTCACCGTACCGCACGTGACCCATAGTAGACACCTAGGATTTACTCTAAGAGCTGTAAAGCCCCAAAACACCTAAGATCATCTGCGCCCACACAATACTTGTGAGTACTGCATTTGTGAAGTTTAGAGCATAGGGGACTGCCATCAATCTGACTCATCTGCGCCACGCGGGTAGAAACGAGTGGATTCCAGCGGGTACAGACGAGTCGCAAAACGCGGGTACAGACGAGGGGCCTACCTTTCCCAGAAGGCCATTGCACGTGGGGAAAACCAACCGTTTTCCGATCCCCTGCGAAAGTGGAGAAACAAAAATGGAAACCCAACCACTAACCCACCTTTAATGGGTGGCTAGGATGGCCACTAAACCCACCAAACGGAAACCCCGGAACCCGTGGATGGCTGGGAACCACCAAGCCCAACAACTCCCAAAAAAAACGATGCACTTCCCAAGTCTCGCGCCTGGAGCGCGTGCTCAACGAAGATCTGCGAAGCCGAACCCCGCCCGAACATTCCCCGCCTGAAAGTTCCCACCCGAGGACAGGCGCTGTTGAATGGGAGGTGCCTGAGTTGAGTGGTCGAAAATTCTGGCCTCTGAGGCGTCGGGAAACCAGCTCCTACGGCAAGTGTTGGCTTCAAGCCTCCCAAGGCAGCAAGCCCCCAACCAAGCAACATGTAAAGTTGTTGCCTACCTACTTCAAATACCAACGCTTTTTTCAGTGCATTGATTGGGAAACCTTGATTTCTTTCAGGCTACATACCTCCTTTTTGCTTCGCCAGGGATTAGAATCATACCCTTTGCCTTTGGGAGTAGGGAGTAACTCAGCTGGCAACAGGAACGGTACGGCCCATCTGCACAAACTGCTATGTTGCACCAACTGGACAAATTTTAACAGGGTCTTCGTCACACAGGCCCGTGTACATACTGTGGATGGACGAAATCCATTTCGCACCACCCAACAAAGCTTGGGATGATTCGATTCTCCTGTGAATACCAACAAATAAATGCTTCAACCATGGTGTCAATGTGGTGCGAAATGGAGTCCATCCACAGTAGGCCATACTATGACCCAGCCGCGAAACCAGGTACAAAACGGAGCATCTGCTTCTCACTGGCCATGAGCAATGGGTTTTGGCTCACATGGCTGTGGGTAAAAACCAATGGTCAGGATTTTGACCCATGGCCACATGTGTACCTTGACGACATGGAAGTGATGGACCTTTGCTCCCAAACACGTGGTTTGACTCCGGGCCAATGTCCAAGTGCCCCCCCGGCCGACCAGATCCAGCTATGGAAAGGCGCCAACAAAAATATGGGTCTCGTTTTGGAGGTGTGCAAGGAAAACTTAAGAATGCCCACCATGCTGGGGGAGGGGGGGGGGTCCCGAAAAAAGACACAACACAGACAGCGCTGTCGCTTGAGCCCAACAGACCGTTCAACGGCGGGATGTTGAATTTGCCGAAAAGAGACGTGCCTAAGTCCCCTGGAAAAAATAGAAATATGTCCAGTACTGATAGATTCCCTTTAAAACCAACAGGGGAAAATAAAGGATATTCTTAACCAAATGGAAGAATAGGGGCCTTGTGTGTCGCTTGAATCTGAGCCTCCTGGACTGGCTCTTGGCTCGTCAATCCAACGGGCATGGCAAGGATGTCCCACAGAAGCAAAGAGTTGTATCTTTCTGGGTGAACAACATTTCACCAACCTGAAATAAGGTGGGGGGCTATTCCCCACATAACCCACCATTTGGGGTGAGGTCGTGTGAGGTCGTTATAATTCACCCGGACCTTTCACGATGTTTCACCTTCTTGTGCGATAACCACCAGCCTTCCCCAGAAACTTTCTCCCTTTGTCATCACCCCGGGAAAAAGCAAATGTGGGGGGGACACATCTTTTTTGACCCCCCCATTCCTTAAAATGTGACATCTTCTGGAAGTCAAAGAGTTTGGTTTCGAGGCAAACCTACCAAAGAAAGGTCACAAAAACCGCCCTACATCAGCTGTTTGCTTTTTTTGTCCGGTAGAATGTCCGGCAACCCAACCCTTTTGAGGCAGGCGGTTTCGACCATTTCCCCCCCCCCCCCCTTCAACCCGCACCCGACGCGTGAAACCCAGCGCCTGCCGGGCCCCTGGCGAGTCCAAGACCTGGCCGATCCACGTGACTTCGGGTTTCGCTTCGAATTTTCGTGGCCCAAAAGCCGGCGAAAAACAAACAACTTGTTTTGTTTTCACTTGTTGTTGTTTTTTCGCCACAAGAGCTACCTGGATAGCGCGATTCCCAACTCAGGAAAACATCTGACCTGTTCGCCGGAAAATATATATCCAACAGTGCCCCCCCCCCCCCCACACGCTCATGAGCAAGCTTTGTCTTAAAATACCCCACAACCTCATTCTACTTGCCCCAACATGAAGCTTCTTCATGGAAACTTTTGATAGGATGAAGGTGCAGAAACCTGGTGTAAAAGTGGTTGATTCCCACTATTTGGTCCCTGTACAGGGATCCCCTTGGCATTACAAAAATTGGGTCTAAACCCAATGTCCGACAACCACATTTTTTTTCAGAGGAAGCCGAAACATTGTGCCCGCGGTGGGGCGGCTCCGGTTGCCCTTCTGGGTTTCCTGTCCCCTGTAGGTCCAATGCAACTAGTAGGATTCCTTATATGGGTGTCTTTGTTTAGGAGAACCCCAACATGATGGTTTTCCTTTTGGTTTACCTTTTGAAACCACAACGACAGGGTGCCCTCAAAAAGACACCCCCCCATATGTGAGGAATTTGTCAGAGTTGGTAAGTAATGCGCTAGGAGGTAGTACCCCCCTTTGCCCCAAACAAGGGTAATACAATATGTCCAAAAGCCTATTTTAAGGATGGTGAGCTCATTTTGAAAACCCCGAAGTGAGCTCGACATTGTGCTCGAGAGCACCAATGATTGTAGGCCCAAAACCCACACTCGCGGACTGCTTGGGCTAGCCACCCGATGGGTGTTCAAAATCGGGGTCTTTTCGAGTCGTATGCTTCGGCTACCCACGCGTCTCTTTGTCTCTTTGGGTGGCAACTCGTGTGTTCCCCGCCCATTCCACTTTGATTTCACGCGCAACCCCCGCGCCACAGCGACACGAAGGCGTCCGAGCGCCTCGGGGATTTGTGGGAACCGTTCAGGGCCAGGAGCCGAAGAAAAACTCCTTTGAAGGAGTGACCTTCTGGACAGTTCCCCCGTTTCTATGGCTTTGAAGACCACACGGACAACCCGCACTTTTGGGGGGTCCCCTAAAAAGCAGACACGCCCGGAAATTGGCTTCTCCCAAAAATCACATGGGTTTGCCTGGGAAACGGACGGCATAGAACCCCTGCAACACACCTGGAACACAGCTAGCTCCAAGCAATCTATCCGATGGACACCTCCGCCTTTGGTTCGGAGGGTGGGAACATCTTAGCTTTTGTGTTAGGTCTCAGTCAGTCCCTTTGGAGAAGGGGTGCCCTAGTTTTAGACTGGGGGGACCTGACTCTAAACGGAGGAACCTCCGAGAATGGAGGCTTCCCCTTGAAGTTGCCCTCTAAACAGACCCGCCCCACTGTGAGGGAGATGGTCCATGCAATGCCTAGCCCTTCTGGCTAGAGTAGTGCCTCATTAAGTCCTTCAAGGCATGGCTTGGCCATGTTTGTGGCCTCGAATATCGGCCGACTACAAACCATTGTTGCTGCTCAGCGGAGAGTATCCAACCTTTACTGTGTGGTCCGCTCCCTTGCGCAGGGAGAAAAAGGAGTCCGGATGGACTGCTTTGTAGGTAAGAATCCAAGCAGCCAGCTGCAAAAACAGGCCACCCCGTGTGGAACATGACCCTGGTCAAAAAGTGAGAATGATCCGCCCTGCATGGGGTGTCTTGTTTGTACACCTTCTTGGTGGTTAAAAAAAAAACAACAAGAGAACACCCCCCAATTTTAGGGTCCAGTCTCGAAAACGACGAGCCCTTCTCAATGGGATTGAAGGCTCGGCCGGCCGGCTAGAGTGTGAGAACTTGGGTGCTTGGCCCAGGGGAGCCCTAGACGTGCCAAGCTCCTTTTCGGACTGTCGGACAGGGGGCGTTTTTGCGCCATGAAGAACTCCTCGAGTGTCACGACACTCACGGCTCCAAGTGAGATTTTCAGAGCGGCCATGAGAAAACGTGAATCACAATGTGAGTTATACTCAAAAACCCGGGTCGACCCAGAACCATGCTTCAAGAAACTTCAGAAGGCGGAAATATCCGCAGCTATTTCTGGCAAGAAATAGGATTGTCCCTTACCTTTATCTACCCGAATCGGTTTTGAGCACGTGGCTCATGTCCTCCTTGGATGACTGATTTCTGAAAAAAAGGGAAACTCCACCCGAAACCAAAAGGAAACGGTTGCGCGTCACTGAAGTTCTCAGATTTGAGATGGAATGATCTTCCGACTTGCTGTGATCTGTAGATAACATGTCCGTGACGCTGAGCCAAGAACAGCAAAAGCACTGGGCATTCGGAGGGAGTCAACAAAAGCCGGCGCTCCTAAAATGACTCGATTCCACCGTGCCGTGAGCACTTTGAGGTAGCAAACCAACATGGAACCCAAACAACCATCTTTAGAGAGACATTCCTCAAAATGGCTGGCATCCCATGTTAAAAATTCCGGGGGCTCCGGGGCTCCGGGCTCCAGCCAGGAACCCAGACCTGCAGCTTCGCCCGAGAAATGGGGAGGAAATCCTTCCGCGTCTTTCTTGGGGTGGTGCCCGTGTTGGGGGGTGGCGATTTCCAGGGCAACCAACATGAAAACCACAATTTTAGTGGGTCCCCAAGATCCTTGTTTTTAGGGGAAACCCAAACAACAACTGCCTTTTTCTGTTGCTTTCTTTTTTTTTGGGGGGGGGAGGGGGGGGTATGGACACTCCACGAGCCAGAGATATGATAATGCTTGATGGCATCGTTTCCGCCGTGGGGCTCACACTTTGCAAGGCACGCAGATGGAAGTGAACAACCCTTCCGAACCCATCAGGGCTTCGGTCTGCCCTTTTTTGGGAAAAAGCCCACCCGCACACCATTCTTTGACCATAGCTTTATCTTCACAACCACCAGAACAACGGGGCTGTCCATCAGGTTTGAAACGGGCTTTCTCTGCAGCACGGTAGAAACGCGGCGCCAACTCCAAATTCACGAAAAACCCTTCTCGTGGGGAAGCTTCCAACACTTCCAGCTGGTGTTCTTTCAGAGCCGAAAGACGGGGCGCGCACTCCAAAAAAATGGGGGGGGGGGGGGGAAACATAAAATAAAAATAACAAACAAAAAGGAAAAAAACAAAAACACGGCTGACCTTAGGCCCTGACACACCCCCAGCAGCACCAGGACCAGCGCCCGCCTTCCATTTCTCAAGTCTGGGGGCCTGCGGGGCCTGGCCCCTGATCTGCCTGAGGGCTCACCCCTCGTCTCCGTCCAAAGTGCCACGGGGGTGAGCCTTCCAATAAAGCGGGTTCTGTTGATATCAGAGCAATTGCAACCCTACCCCCCCCCAAAAATAGTTAATAGGGGGGGCCTGGGGTAGGGAATTTTTAAGGTAGGGTTTCAGGGTTCAGGGTTCATTTTCAACAAGCAAACAACTTTGTTCAAAACACCAAGGGGGATTCTGGGGAATTTGTCTAAAATTTCTCAACATTTTTTACAATCTTTTCATTTAATAACAGTCTAACAATTTAACATTTTCAAGGTTCAGGTTTCAGACCATGTTTAAGCTTTCTGGGGAATTGTTGGTCATTTCTTTTTACATTTGTTTACAATGAAAAAGGGTAAGCACTTTGTTATGATCATTGCAATTGTTATTGGCTGTTGTTATGTTTTTGTTGTTGCTCTTCAATCTGATGACAACCTTGTTTGTTTTGTCATTGTTTTTTTCTCTCACCACCGCCACGCTTTTCGTGTTCTCCTTCTATGTCCTGGTCCATATTCTCGTCGGGCGCCTCAGTATGACAGAGTTTGACTGAATGAGCACACGCAAACCTGACAAGTGGATATGCTTGATGCTATGTCTGAAACAGAGAACTCGTGTTCAAGCAACAAGCGTGAAATCTGTCCTGCTTTCTGCAACAGTAAGCCATGTCCAGTGGTGGCTACCCGTTGTCGGATGAGCAAGTTGCTCAGATGCTGAGCGCCGAAGATGCCATCTCTCAGGCTGAGCAAGAGAGCTTGGCAGAGAGCGTCGAGGAAGAGACAGAGACCGAAGATGAGCAGGAAGAGCCTTCCGAAACGCTTGGTTCGGGAGATGAAGCCAAGCCCATCGTTCCACCGAAGGATGATGAAGACAAGGATGACGCTGGTGGCACCACATCCACAGAGCCTTCGGCGGTGGCTTCACCTCTGGCGGATGTCCCCGCCTCCTCGTCAGAGACCGTCATGCCCAAGAAGAAGTCCAAGGCAAAGAACATTCCCACCGTCCCCGTCAGCTTCAAGCAGGAGATGGAGAAGCTCTCGGATAAGATGCTGGCGCTGAGGATTGAGGAGATGGAGCATCAGGAAGCTCTTCTTCACGAACAATCCAAGCTGGCTCGCAAGATGTCAAAGAAAAGGGCTGACGACGCGAAGAACGCCGACAAGCCATCCAAGAGCGCCATGGTGAAAGCCAAGTCTTTGGCTTTGAAAGCCGAGAAGGAGGCGGACATCACCGTGACCTTCTCTTTCAACGGTAAGCGCTTCTCCATCACCACACAGTCAGGCAGAGGCATTGGTCACATGCGGACGCTCTTCATGGAGAAGGCGAAGATTGCCAAGAAGTTCAAGAACGACCTGAAGTTTGACCTTGGCGGTGAGGACATCTTCGCTGACCGTGACCCAAGGACCACGATGCGCTCTGTCAAGGTCGGCGACGGCTCTTTGATGACAGTCACAACGAGGGGCTTGGGCGGTGGTGTCATCAAGCCCTTCTTGAAGCAATCGGATGCCATTGACATGCTCCAGAAAAGGGCTTCGTCAGTGATTGACAAGAAGATGGCTAAGGACGAGGAACAGTTGATGAACCTGTCTCCGGAAGAGCAACTCCCCACCAACATCAAGGAGTATCTGACAGAGAAGCGCAACTCGCTCAACGGTGTGAAGCTGATGAAGGAGCAGACAGGCCTGAACATCATCAAGACGTGCCTCGCCAACGTTGACACCGAGAACCTGCGCCTCATCCGCAAAGCCATCGGCGACCGCAACGAGGGGCACAAGGGCTCAACCGAGGAGCGGGTGCTTCGTGCCTCCTTCCTGCTCTTCCCTGCCATCCGTGAGGTCAAGTCCGTCATCCTCCACTTGAATATGTTCGAGCGGGAGGTCTGCCGTGAGTTGCTTCGCATCTACATCTCTGAGTATTCCAAGGTGGAGAACGGTCAAGCCAAAATCAACAACGTCGGCTTCGTTGAGCACATTGACGCAGAGTTGGTGCGCCGTGAGCACTTGAACAACCCCGCCCCCGCCGATGTCATCCAGCAGGTTCAGCAGTCCAACTGTCTCATCGTCTGAGGACTGATTATGTCTAAAATAACCCCGCCCCGAAAGTTTGGGGCACCCTGCCCCGAAAGTTTGGGGCACCCTGCCCCGAATTCCCGTAAGTTTGGGGCACCCTGCCCCGAAAGTTTGGGGCACCCTGCTTTGAAATCGTGTCGTTTCTACAACCCTGCAAGGAGATTCCTGAGCCATTGTCAGTGAACAAGCGGTAGATTGAGTGATTGCCCTTCTTGCTCTTTTATATGTCCTTTACATCAACCACAAACAAATGAGTCATCGCATATGTTCATTTTGAGACATCAACCAGAGCAAGAAATCACAGAAAGTGGCTTCGTTCATTTTGCTTTCGCTTTCACATGGTTAGGGGGGAACACGCTTTACCAGTGGAGAGAAGTGGAAAAAAAGCGGTTCCTCGTGAGATTGATTGACACATCACTTGACAACAGTTTTGAAAGCAACATCACTTGATTTGCCGACGCTGAGGTTGTGAAGTCATCCCGATGTATCTGTACGAGACTACTCTCTACCAGGCTTGGCTGACACAGGGTTATTTGTTCGTGTCCCTTTTTTTTTGGTGTTCTGTTAAAGTGGAGGGTTCAAACAAAGCATTCAGGGAATGACATTGCCAGACAGTTTGCCGAGCCTGACATTTGACACTTCACCCCTTTGACCCCTTTGACCCCTTTGACCCCTTTGACCCCTTTGACCCCTTTGACCCCTTTGACCCTGTGTATGCGTCCTGTATGTCAGAAGGCACCTCCCTGTATATCTTCAAGGTGTGGTCGTTGTCGCTTTTTTTCACCCTTAAATTTATAGTAATAAATAAGGGGAAACTCTCGCCAATTTTCCATCTTGATGTTTGAGACCAACCCCAAATTTAAGGGCATCCTTCCAGAAACCCCAACATTCCCACTTTCCCAAACCCAACAAAACAAGGACAAAATCCACCATTTCACAACTCACCCAAAACCAACAAACACATCAACTTCATCAGTTTCAGTTTCAAACCCATCCCCAAACCCACATTTCACGTTGCAACCCAAACCCACCAAATCCAAACCCGCAACAAGAACCCGCCCCCAAAACTACTTAAAGAGAAAATGCCTTATATATTATTAGAGAAATGGCAGGGGATTTTGAAGCAGGTTACGTTATCAATTATCTAATATCCAATAATGAAGCAAACATAAAAACAGGAAAGAACAATAAACCTTTAAAAAAACTCGTTATAAACAACAAGGAATATTATTACAACAAAGAAAAACCCATCTCAACATCTTTACAAAACAAACTTAATCAAGTATCAAAAACACAAGAGTTCAAAAGACACCACCTTTTACAGAAGTCAGCAAAGGCATTGAGAGGAATTAATACAATCAAAAAATACAGATTAAAATTAGGGGCTAAAACATCAGAGACCTTTTCAGCATTGAAAGAGTATGCCAACACATATTCAATATCCAACATACCATTCAAGGGATACAAAGGATTAACATATCTTTTATGGCAAGAAAAGAAACTAACAGAGTTTTTACAACAAGCAAAATCAATGAAACTACTGATTGATGTTGAGGTTCTGTTTGATAAAGTTGATGTAGATGGTGATGAAACAGAAGACACTGTCAGTGCATCAAACACGCTTGGAATATCTACCAAAGATGAAAATGATGTACAAATAAAACACAATATGAGGAGTAGGAGATACAACATTTTGAATGTAGGCGATTTGAAAAAGGCATTGGAAAATATACCGAAAGACATTGAACTTCAAATTGAAAACTCACCTTTGAAACATTCAGGATTGAAGATTAATAAGATTAACAAAATAACCATCCACTACGATAAATACAATCCAAACAGAGCAGGAAAATATATGGAACTACCAGAATGGATTTCAAAGAAAAAAGCGTGTATCAACATTCAAAACGAAGATGAGTTATGTTTCAAATACTGCGTTTTATGTAAATTCTATGAAGTCTTCAAGAAAGACCATCCGCAACATATGAGACACTACAAGAAATTAATGACTACTGAAAGTCTCATTAAATGGGATGGTGTGAATTTTCCAGCATCAAATGATGGCATAGACCATTTTGAAACAATTAACCAAAATTCTATATCAGTTAATGTTTATGTTGAAGATGAGAACCAAACCATCAGGGCAAACAAAATAACGAAGATTCAAAAACCATCTTGTCATATCAATCTGTTACGAATTCAAAAAGATGATAATGAACATTATGTTTTAATAAAAGATTATAATAGATTAATGGGTAGTCAAACCAACAATCACAAAACAAAGATATTTCATTGTATTTACTGTCAGCACGGTGTTCAATCAGAAAAGCTTTTAAATGCTCACATATCAAAGGGATGTATGGCAAATGACATTCAACGAACAGAAATGCCAGAAGAAGGAACATCAATGAAGTTTGAAAAGCATTTCAAGAAACTTAAAGCACCATTTGTTATTTACGGTGATTTTGAATGTTTAACAACAGAAACATCAGAAGGCATCAAAGGGACTTATCAGAACCATAAACCCAGCGGTTATATGCTTAACCTTGTTAATGCTTATAGTGGAGAAATGAAACCATTTTTATACAGAGGCGAAGATTGTATTGATAATTTTTGCGATACTCTGAATAATATTAGAGACGATGTTATGGAACAAATGAAAAAACCAAAAGATATGATTATGTCAGATTTAGATGAAATTAAACATTTAGAAGCTAAAAAGTGTTTCTTATGCAATGGCGCTTTCAACAACAAGGTGGAAGCGAAAAAGAAAGTCGCCGACCATTGCCACTTCACAGGATTATACAGAGGAGCGGCGCATATGAAATGTAATATAGACTATTGCTTTAAAAAATATCATATACC